TCCCTTTTCTCAAAGTGCCACAACCACATAATTCTATAATTTTGTTGTTGCAAATCTCTTGTCAAGTCTTTGCCTACTCTTTCTCCTAAATCTTTTTGTGGCAAGTCACCAATCTTACCAGAATATATTTGACATTCGCAAATATACCCTGAATCATCAGCCCGCACCCAAACTTTGTATCCACTCCATTTATTTTTTTCTGTAAAAAAATATAAATGACCGTTTACAGTCCTAGTGGTTACCTCAAGAAACCACTACATATTACATGGAACAGATGGTAAATTGATCAATTGAGTCGGAAGGTATGAAATATTGCAGTTATAAAACTAAATACTGACGTGTCATTTTAATTTTCACTCAGTGTGTTCACGTTTACAAACAGCCGAAAAAAGACACACGCGGAAACTTCGCAATGGATAAAGAAACTTCACGGAATACACACTTCCTCGCACGGGGCAGAGCCGTCAATTTTATCCCGATAGATGTCACTAACGGTAATACTTTTAAACCGCGGTAAGGCTACCCGACCAGTAGGACTGAAATTACGTGTTTTAATATAGGTGGTTACATGGATCGACCAGTAGAACGGAAAGGGTTAAGATTTTAGGGTTGGTGTCACCCCCGCCCAGGAGGCTGCACGTGTTAACGTGATCTTTTTCCAAACTTGTGTCCCCCTCGAAGACAAAATCGACGCGTCTGAGCCTTTTTCCAAAAAAAAACTGAGCTGCCAGTAAATGCGTCTGTTTCGTTTTCGATGCGCCACCCTGTATTAATGTGATCTGACGTCAGACCATTCGTAAACAGCAGCTGACAGCAGCATAACCTCTCAAACATTACTTCTACTAGTTTACATGAGAACTATAGAAAGTATCACTATTGTATCGTCCAAAAATGTAAAACACGTCGATTGGAACCCCAAGAAAGCTGTGAATGTCCAAGGGAAATAAATATGGCTTGGAGCGTACCTTATGTTCGGGAGGTGGGCACGGGTACGCACGGGTATCACTTATCTTGAAAAGTGACATTATGCGTATTTTTTTTGACATCATGCTGTTTTTTTGACATTATGTAAGTTTTTCTCGTACATGCTAACCGTAATTACACACAACGCGGGCGCGGTGATGATTTCACGTAATTCTCCTCAGTTTTTCGTAATTTATAACTTTTTTATCCCGTCTGATCTACTAGGGTCATCTCCTCCAACAAATAATTCTACCGATATCATTTCTTTAAAAAATATAATTGAAGAAAACGTAATTAGGGCTTCGAAAAGATTAAAGAGCAAAATGACGTCTGGATGTGATGGTATTCCAAGTTTTTTTGTTAAACATTGCATTCATATACTAGCGAAACCGCTGGCTTCCATATTTAACCTAATTCAAAAATCAGAGACATATCCAAATATCTGGAAGACCTCCATAATATGTCCTATTCACAAAAGTGGAGATATCTCTGATATTTCCAACTATCGCCAAATAGCAATCCTGGCAATTTCAGCAAGTTGTTTGAGATCATCGCTTATGAAACGGTTTACTGCTCGGTCAGGGGTGCAGTCTCTATTAATCAGCATGGGTTTATGAGAGGCAGATCTACGGTCACCAACTTGGTTCTGATTACTCAGTACATTTCTGAAGTACTGGACGGTCAGGGACAAGTTGATGTCATCTACACAGATATTCAGAAGACGTTTGATCAAGTTGATCATTATGCACTTCTGGATAAGCTTAAAACAGTGGGTATGTCTGATGCAATGCTGTCGCTCATGAATTCATATTTGAGGGATAGAAGGTTATTTGTCGAATATGGTGGTCATAGGTCGAGTTACTATCGGGCCACGTCCGTGGTACCTCAAGGGTCAAATCTAGGTCCATTATTGTTTTTGATATTTACTAATGACTTGTCTTTTGAACTGAAGTGTTTCCATTTGTTTTTCGCTGATGACCTTAAAATCTGCACGTCAGTCAAGACAGTCGAGGATTGCGTCATGTTGCAAGATGACTTAGCTCTAATTTCGTCATGGTGTTCACGAAACTGTCTCAGTCTGAATGTTTCGAAATGTAAAGTTATGACTTATACAAGAAAGGTTAACTATTTAATTTATGATAATTATAACATCAATGGTCAGGTTATAGACAGATGCACCTCTTATAGAGACCTTGGAGTCACTTTTGATACCAAGCTAACGTTTACTGAGCATATACTCAATATCTCGTCGGCCTCTACTCGACTACTTGGCTTCTGTATCAGAAACTGGAAGGGTTTCTCCAATGTTGATACATTAATGACTTTATTTTTTACTTTTGTCAGGAGCAAGTTGGAGTATGCGACTTTGATCTGGTCTCCTATATACCAAAGTTATGACGTGATCCTTGAGGCCATTCAACGTAAAGCTTTAAAGTATTTTCACCTTAAATTCACTGGTTCTTATCCAGAAAGAGGTTGTGACCATAGTGCCCTATTAGAGTTTTTGAATTTGGATTCACTGTCAACAAGACGAAACATATTTGCTTTGTCGTTTTTGTATGGCCTCATTCACAATAAAATTGACTGTCAAAATTTACTTGAAAAAATATGCTTCCGCGTTCCAAGGCTAGGGAGTCGACAACAAACGGCATTCTATTGTAAAGCTGGCCGTACAAATGTTATGACAAAATCGCCAATTAATCTCATGTGCTGCGTCATGAACAGTGTTACTGAATCGTGTGATATTTACAGTGATAGTTGTGCATCGATTATTAGCTGCTATAGATCATGAAATCTTATTTAGAATGTGTGATACTATAGATTTAAGTCCAAGAACCATGTCTCTTTAATTGTTATTTCTTTTCAGCATTTCCTGTAATTGGGTTTCACCTGTTGGAAATAAATAAATTAATAAATAACCTCTCTCCAGAAAGCACAACATAAAAATAACACGTCGGGCACAGCCAATAGATATACTGCATTGGCAGTATATTTAGTAATGATTTTCTCACACAGCAAATATCACTGATTTTGTACACATGTAGACCAATACACATAATCATCTAGATGCGATCTTGCTATTCAAAAACTTTCTTCTCAGAGATAAAAACTACAGACAAGAACCATTTGGCCTCACAAAACATATGCAACCAATAATGCGTGTAGTTTAGTTGAGTGATTCATCCTTAGATGGACGTTCACAACGATCCTAGTGAGCAAACCTGGAATGACTGTTTGCGCCCTAAAAACTACCTAGTTTGCAAGATGAAATCTTATAGGTTTTCCTTGACGTTTTATAGGTTTTTTACATGATACCCGGGACATATTTTACATCTCACTGTGCAGATCTTGTCTCGTTTAAGTTGGACGTGAACTACTGCATCATGACCATACGATTCCGTTGCAGATGTGTAAGAAAAAATACAATATTAGATAAAATTATTCAGATTCTATGACGCGTGAGCTTAGATTTGAATGAAGAAGATTATGTAAGTGCGTTACTTATCCTTTCTTTTTATGTCTATCATTATATGAGATGCACTATAATGGGAAATTTCGAAACTGGAGATACTACAGCTCCAAATATATGAATTAACCTAAATAATCTTTCGCAGGCTGTATATTTACTAACTGACATATAAATCCGAACATCCAGTTTAAATGGTTTTATTTTAATAAAATTTTGTATAAGTACTTAATGAAGCATAATAAGTAAATGATAAAAATTTCAAAATGATTGCACTGCTTTAAAGCCCTTTGACCTTTAATAATGTGTGGATGCACCCTGATGTGCTACGCATTCTCCAACGCGCCTAGGCATGCTTCTGATCAGGTGGTCAATGTCCTCCTGTGGTATCTCATTTCAGGCAACCACCAACTCCTCTCAAAATGCTTCTAGAGTCTGAGGAGGACGTTGCAAATTGAGCAATCTCCTACCCATCATATCCCACACGTGCTCAATTGGGGATAAGTCGGGCGATCTTGGTGGCCATGGTAACAATGTGACATCATTATGTTGAAAGAAGACTATTGTGACTCTTGCAACATGTGGTCGGGCATTATCTTGTTGGAAAGTTGGATCTGCCAGGGTGTCAAGATAAGGTAAAAGATGGGGTTCTAGAACTTCGTGGATATAACGCTGCGCGTTCATGTTACCTCTGATGAAGATTAAAGGTGACCTGGAACCATAAGCTATAGCACCCCAAACCATAACTCCAACAGTGTGATGAACATGTCTTTCAACAAAAAACTGTGAATTCCTCCTTTCACCACGTCACCTTCTAACCCTGGCACGACCATCGTGCATGCCCAAACAAAATCGAGACTCGTCACTAAAGACAATACTGTTCCATTCCTGATCCCAGAGTGACCGTTGTCTGCACCACTCAAGGCGATTACGTCGGTGTTCTCGAGTTGAAGGGAGGACCCAGTGTGGCCGGTATGAAAACAAGCCAAAACTTCTCATTCGTCGGTAAACACTTCGCATGCCAATAGGTCTTCCGTGTTCTGCAAACCATTCATTTGCAATGGACCTGGTAGTGGAGAAACGGTCCCTTAAGGCCAATAATCTTAGGCGGCGATCTTCACGGCCTGTTGTTCTACGGCGGCGTCCAGTGCCCCTTGCTCTTTGCGTACGGCCTTCTCGAAGCCATGCCTGACAACACCTAACCACAGTGTCAACACTTCTTTGCACTCTAACTGCAATTGACCGAAAAGAAAGTCCAGCTTCCCGAAGTCCCACTATACGGCCCCTATCAAACTCACCAAGTTGACGAAATCGTACAGGTCTCCGTACTCTAGGCATCGTAACCGATCGTAAAAGATGTCAAGAACCAAAATCTGCCAACGTTGATTCTTTACCGCGGCTGAAATATTCATTTTTAGAACGTTAGTGAATTAAAAAAAGGCAGTATAAAAACCGGAATGTCCAACTGATAAGGCTGAACATTTTTTCACTTGTTATTTACAGTAAGATAAATACATTCACCAACTTTTATTAAAATAAAACCATTTAAACTGGGTGTTCGGATTTATATGTCACTTAGTATACATTTTGCACTTTTAAAAATTGAAATCAATATATTTTGTTTTCCTGAGACAAAGAAACACTCATTTATTCTACGAAATTAGATACGAGAGATCCGATTGAGATGGCAGGATGCAGATTGAACGATTCAGGCAAACGGCAAACCAAAATGGTGATTGGCAATGTCCAATAATTAATATTCACCACCTCTATATTTGGATAAAAAATGTAGAGACCGTAGTGTTCAATGTATGAAATCGATACCGAAAGGTGGAATCACCACATCTGAAGGTGGCTTCAATCGTCTTCGTCCCAGCACCATTTGCTGAAAATAATTGACATTATACATCAACAATGACAATGCTATTAAAAAATATAGACTCAAGAATGTCCCAAAATTCATGCAAGGTTTGAATTATTTGAAAAATACAGGTTGCCTTGTTCAGATTACTTTTGCTCGCCACGCCTACTGGAATTATTGTGAGCGCAAAAAATTTTGCTAATCGAATTTTGAAGAAACTTTTACAGACGATTACTACTATGCCAAAGGCGAAAAAGCTTTATAGTGTTTCAAACTCGATCCAGTTGCGAAGAAGAACAAGGCTAAAAAGGAAAAAAACTGCAAAAATTTCGTTTTTCACGTTTCAGAAGGTCCTGAGTTATTTGGAAAATATAATAGGGGCGGAGGGTTGTAGGGAGATGGGGGCAGATGTATCGCAATTCTTTGATGTTATATATTTCTAACTCCGATAATTCTATGCACCTATATACATGTTTTCGACAAGCGTCTCTGCGTTTTCTGACTTTATCGGTTGCGGCCGGCGTGCCGGTGTTCGTATGTGTACTGCGTGACTGGGGCGCTCTGCCGGGTGTGATGCATCATACTTTCATATACAGGGTGACTTCGAAGTTGAGTCATTTATTTTAACAGTGAGTAGATATGATCAAAAGAAATGTTTTTTCCTTTAACATTTTTCTGGTAAAATTAAAGTAACAAAGTTATAGCCCTTTAGAAGTTTGAGTACCGCCCTGTCTCAATAATAATATTATGTGCTCGTGTTTGGCAACAACGGATATAATCTGCCTTATCGGTCCATCGCATCGGAAACAAAAAAGCGAAAGAATTTGAAACGCTTATCACGCGGTTTTTACTACAATTTTATTCAGTTGTATTCAGTCAATGTGTCAGTCGGTAACGCGTGAGTGAATAGTGGTGTTTATTGCATGGCTCAAACGGAATAAAAAATGGCACATGTTACGGAGTCTTTATAAAATGCTGCCGCGGCATCACGGATTTTTGCGGATCGGTTTCCCAATCGACTGCAACCAACCCCTCGTGCCTTTGTTAATGTAGTACAAAATGCTCGTGAATCAGGTGACTTAAGACCTCACAGGGGAGGGCATGCCGATGCTCCAAGACCGCACGATCAAATACAGGTCCGCACTGAAATACTTGTCGTGAGGATACTTTATAAAACAAGGTAACATTTTTTTTTAATTTTTTTTTATTTTTACACACATATTTTGGTTTATCTTCCTTCTACAATCATTATCTGAAAATTAATGACTCAACTTCAAAGTATATCAACAAAGTTTAGACTCCTCCTGAAATTTTTATATTCTAAGAAAATGTTTGACTGCGTTCAAAATCATCAGAAATGAAAAAAAAATAAAGCCAAGTTTGGGGGAGTTATAATACTGGTACCAGTAGAAAGGATTTCAAAATTTACTGAAAATCCAGTGATGCTTTCCTAGTTACAGAAGGACGAATGATTGAATTCGTTACTCTAACAGGACCGATTAACAAAAACTATAAATATTTTTCTGTCGGTAATAGAGGGCCAAGGATTACCTGACGAACGCCACAAAAATGTACCTACTATGTTATATCTGAAAATTATTCCCCATTTGAAGTTTTTTCGCGATTACAGTAGTTCCTGGTCTATTGACTTGACTGAAAAATGAGCACCCTGTTTGAACATTGAGAGATATGTATGTAGGTATGCCCAAAAACCGGATATTTAAAATTTGCACTAACATTTGTCATATATAATCTCAAGTGTTGCTTTCAAGTATTGCAAATAACTAAATTATTACTATACTTTTCCACATCCATATGAAATGCAAATAGAAAGAAAAATATCACGCATAGCAAAGTAAATATGATCTGTGAAACTTCCGAAAAACTTTTTTCTCAAGGTGGGTACGCCCTAGTCACAGAACCTTGTTTAATCTATATTCTATGACTCAATAAAAAATATCAATCAAAAATATATGAACTGTTTTATATTGTCAAGTCTTGAGTGAACTTTGGAACACCTTTTAGAATATTAATAATAATACAGGGTGCGGCAGAGAGGACGGACGTTTTTGGGATGGGTAGTACTCTCCGCCTCCGTCAACGAGAGAGGTGGGGAGGATGCCGTTTGACTCGTGAGATCCTAGCATTATTTTACCAGTTGTCGTTATGGAGCCTTGGATGGTGGAGCACCGCGTTTTCGCCTATGATTGTTTCGTCCGAAATAGTAAGTCAGTCATCGTCGTACAGCGTGAGTTTCGTCGCCACTTCAATATTCATCGGAATAGAGCTACAACACCATCCTTTGTTGGGTTGAATCACTTCGCAGGCGTGGTGAACTGATCAACAGAAGACCAAGAGGAGCGCCGCGAACAGTTCGAACTCATGAAAATGTTGAACGCGTTCGACAGGTATTTCTTCGCAGTCCGACTCGATCTGCTCGGAAACATGCTGCTGCACTTCGCCTTAGTGATCGTTCGGTAAGGAGAATTTTGCATATGGATCTCCGCTTTCACCCCTGCAAATTGGCCATTGTGCAACAGTTACAGCCCGGAGATTATGCACAACGAATGAACTTCGCACGTGAGATGGAAGCACTGATCGATCAAAATGAGAACCTCATTTTGTTTATTAGTCACGAAGCCCACTTTCACCTAAACAGCATGGTTTACCAGCAGAATTATTGGGCTAATGATGTTCATTGGCCTCCTCGGTCCCCAGATTTATCCATATGCGATTTTTTCTTATGGGGACACCTCAAGGCTAGAGTATACGCGAACAAGCCCCGAACTCTGGACGAATTGAAGGGCGAAATTCGCGTGGAAGTCACCCAAGTTGAGAGAGCGATGTTGGAGAGAGTCTACGCGAACTTCCAAGAACGCCTCCAGCACTGCATCAACGATTTCGGCCACCACATGCCTGATGTGATTTTCCACACTTGACTGTCTCAGATGCTATTTCCTTGTGAACCTGATTCCATCAATAAATTTGTTTTCGAGTAAAAATTAACTATTTTATGATTTTTTTAAAACTGTCCATCCTCTGTGCCGCACCCTGATAATAGAAATTTATTAATTTTATGAGTGTTACGATAAAGAGCAAATGATAATCAGTAAGTACTTACTTTTCCCATTTCTTCAGACTTTTTGTAATTCTTCAAAACCTGATCAATTCCATACCCAGGCAAAGGCTTCGATATAAAATAAGGCGTTAAGCTCAAATCATATGCAGGAACAGGTTTCATGCTTTCTTCTTTCTTTATCCTTCTCAACTCATCTTTCTCCATCAATAACATGAAAAAGGCCCTTATTGTAAAGTAGTAAACAATTTCTACCCCTGATAACAGGCTGAATCCCAAAAACAGTCCTGCAATGCCTCCAAATGAGACTAAAAAAGTAGGCATAAATGAATCCTAATGGAACCTAGGAAGTACGATAGTATTTTTTTAAGTAAGAGCTGTCTTGTCAGAGAGTAGTTATACAGGGTGTCCGCAAAGTTGGGGTTTTCCTTTACACGACGTGTAGATCTTGAAAACATAAGCAATTTTTCTTAGTACCATATACACCAATGTCTTAAGGGAACCGAGATAAAGGGCTCTGCAACATCAAAAATATCTGAATACCGTCCTGTAGCCGCGACCCGCCGCGATCCGCGATATCCCAGACTGGTACCGGCTACTAGCTGAACCCGACGACAGAACTGGGTCGGGGGTCGGGGTCAGTGTGTCAGGTCAGTATGCAACCTTCAACCGACGGTAAAGGGTCACGCGTATAGAGGTAACGAACCCGTATAATCGATTGCGTTTCAAAAATAATAATAATAAGAATGGCACACTCATACACCAATAATGAACTCGTTGATCCAAGGCCCCGCAGATTTGTGTACCTGTTCCAGAGAGTCAGGGATACGGGCCATTTGGAGGAATTTCGAGGTCGGCACAGTGGGAGGCCTAGACAACCACGAATGGTGCAAGTTGAGGAAGAACTACTGAATCGCGTAGACGAGAATCTCTCAACAAGCACTAGAGACGTGACTGGAGAAGTGCAAGTATCAAAAACTAAAGTGTGGCAAACGTCCAACGTGTACAAGCCCTTCAACCTGACGATTTTCTAGCAAGAGTGCGGTTTTGTGAGTGGTTGTTGCATCAACATGACAATAATCTGGACTTTTTGAAGTGCATATTGGTGACAGACGAATCTACGTTCACGCGTAATGGGGTGAATAACTTTCGATTTCAGGCAGAGACGTACTTAGCGCTTCTCGTCAACTGGAGAGTGAGTACTTTTTCCTTTATTTTTTTTTTACTTGGTCGCCCTCGTTTCACTACACATTACCTTTGTTATTTCAAGGGTAGTTGTTTCTGAAAAGGAAAACCCCAACTTTGCGGACACCCTGTATATAGAGGGAAGATGAGATTGTAGTAAATTTAGTTTTAGTTCTCTGACCAGTTCCTACCTAGTAAGTCCACCCAACCAAAAAGTACTTCTCTCTTGTATTTCACCATTGGCCAGGAAACGAATTTGCAGGTCAAAGTACTCTTCCAAATTTCGTCGCGGCCAGTTCTGAAAAAGGAGCATTCTCAACAACTGATGTATCGATTTCCGACATTCATTTAAGCCTAGACTGATCCTATACCACCTATAACCGAAAGGAAACCCCCAACTTACATTATTTTAATATTAAGGTTCCCTATCTTTTCTGTCAAGAAGCTAATTATTACTACCTTCATTCGAACTTTTATAATTTCTCTGATAACGCCGTCTAAGCGTGTACGTACCGCGTTGTGCCAACGAAGTCAGTCATACGCAACATGGCGTTACCAGAAAAATTACTGGTAGAACTAGTATACTAGATCTTACAGATCAATACTATAAAAATGGCAGTCGTACTGGCCGGAATGTCAGAAAAGAATAATTTCTAGATACAAATATGTAGTTTCATTTGGTAAAGCATGGCGTTCTACCAGCATGAAGACCACAGGATAAGTTTCAGATGTAACATTCAAAAAAATTACGGTAGGGGAGACCGGGGCTGGTTGTCACATGGGTTGGTTGTCACAATTGTTAAATCTCAGCAGCTCCGCCAGATGTAGTTGCCTGGCGCGCTATACATCGTTTCTGCGTCCGCGTAGAACACTTGTATTCAGTACGAAAGTTGTCGTTGGTAGATTAAGGTCGCACACACAAAAATAAACAAATCGCCTGACCTGAGTAAATTTTTCGTTTGCCACATAATTTGTGTTTTCAAGACTACATTTGATAAAACGAACTGTTGAATTTATTTTGCTCTTCAATAATCCGAATATGACTTAATGTAAGTCATGACTTTGAATTTGTTATTTAGTGACGCTATCTAACCTTAAAAATTAATTATCTAGTGGGGCAGGTTGTCTCAAATTAGCGGGGGCCTCTTGTTACATGGGACAACCAGCCCCCACACTAGACGATTAGCTTTGGACATCATTCTACGTAGGTATATGTATATAATGTATTTTTTCAATATTTTCAGGTTCATAAGCATGGTTCGAAATTTCAAAAGGAAGACTGAGGAGGGCAAAGCGCCGCCTGACGTACTTTTAAGAGCAGCTAGATTAGTGAGATTAGGATCCTCAATAAGAAAAGCGGCAGCTGACTTTAGCAAGATACTGTAAGAAAATTGCAGAGTCTGAATTACTTGATGATCGAGTTGTTGCGCCGTCAATTTCAGTTGGCTACATCAAAAATCATTTAGTATTTGAGCCTGAACTTGAAAATCATCTAGTAGAATATGTACTCAAAGCATCTGATATTTATTTTGGATTATCACCCAAGGAAGTACGTGGACTGGCATATGAATTTGCTAATGCTAATTCCTTAAAAATGCCGGAAAATTGGAAGCTCCATAAAATAGCTGGTCCTGACTGGTTTAGAGGTTTCTAAAACGTCATCCTGTACTGTTTATTCGCAAACCGGAAGCATCTACTTTAACAAGAGCCAGTAGTTTCAATAAAACGGACGTCAACGCATTTTTTGATAATTTAGCTTCAGTTATGGAAAAACATAAATTTGATACTCACGAAATCAGGAACATGGGCGAAACTGGGATTACAACTGTCCAAAGATCCGATCGCGTTGTTGCCAGAAGAGGATTCAAACAGATAGTTTCATCAGAAAGAGGAACTCTTGATACCTTAGCAAGTGCAGTATCAGCTATTAGAAATTCCATACCTCCTTTTTTCATTTTTCCACGAGTACATTTCAAACCACATTTTTTAAATTCTGCTCCACCTGGCTCACAAGGTTCTGCAAACCCATCAGGTTGGATGAAAGAGTCACATTTCTTGGAGTTTCTTAGATTTTTTCACGTTCATGTGAAAAGTACTGTGGAAAGACCGTGCCTGCTTTTACTAGATAACCATGGATCACATCTGAGTATAGAAGGACTGAATTTTACCATAGCAAATGGTATTGTCATGCTCTCTTTTTACCCTCAGTGTTCACATAAACTTCAACCTCTTGACCGCGCCGTTTTCGGCCCTTTTAATACATATGTAAATACTTCCTGCGATGCTTGGGTCTTAAATGATCCCGGTAAGACCATGACTATATACGACATACCTTCAGTGGTCTCTATTGCATACACCCTCGCATTTACTCCCAAAAATATACAGTCTGGATTTCGGGTGTCGGGTGTGTTTCCTTACAACAGACATATTTTCACGGATGATGACTTTCTTGCGAGCTCTGTCACTGATAGGCCAGATCCGGGTATGTTGAAAGAAGCAATAACTGGATCAAACCCGGAAACCTTATCCAAAGGCATCGGCAAGAAAGATGAATCGAGTTTCCCGTCGTAAACGAGGGAGTGCAATACTCACTGACACTCCAGTAAAAGACGAATTAGAGAAAGAGAAAAATAAAAGCTGGAACAAGAAAAAGAGGAACAGGGAAACAGTGAATAGAGACGTTTTTGATTCAGAAAAAAAATGAAGAAATCTAAAAAAATTGAAAAACGTCCTGTTCAGATAATGAAACTGATGGAGAAGAATGTTTTTGCTTGATTTGTCTTGAACCATTTTCTAACAGCGCGCCAAATGAAGAATGGGTGCAATGCTCATCGTGTAATGGTTGGTCACATGATGCGTGCACTGATGGACGCGAACTTTACATATGTCATAACTGCGATAGTGACTAATTGTAAAAAAACTCTTCTACTTCTTTCTCATAGAGATTTGGTGTTTAATAAGCATTTTTTGTAATAATAAATATGTGTAAAAGTATGATATAATTTATTAATCATCTAAAATACACGTGACAACCAACCCCAAGCAATGTGACATCCAGCCCCAGCAAGGGGCAAGTTGTCACATTTGTATCTGTATTTTGAAACATTTTAATTTAATATTGTGAATTATTTTGCAGCCTTATCGATTTTACATAGTGTTATCAAAGGATAAACCATATTAGTTATGCACCAAATATGTGCATATAATGCTTCAGATCGAATAAAAAAAAGAATTACTGAAAATTGTCTCCCCTACGTTTATGAAACATTCCTAGTTTGATTCTAGTATGATACGACACAATCATCATAGCCTTTGAAAGTGCAATTCGTAAATCTATCTCTTATCCTTCCTTTAGTGGCAATGCGTACCCCAAAGCATCTAGTTTCTCCACCTCATAAACCGTATTAGAACATCCCAAATAACAGTGGCAGTGATCAAGATTTTGAATCTCTTCCAATTTCTCCGCAATGCAGATTAAACCATGAATGTCACACTGTTTGTTGTGAGGTGGAAAGAAATAGGGAAGGCAATTGCAATGTCTCAAAGCGTTGTTCATTCTGCATTGCCTGGTACATAAGGTATAAGAGTAGTCAGTATAGCCCTGAAATAAAAGAAAATCCATAGTACACACATACAGGGGTAAGATTATACAGGGTGGACCAAAAGTTACTGACTGATTTTAAAAATTCATAAGTTTTTCCCAAGTTAACATATTTCATTTTTTTTTTCAGATTTACAGAGTAGAGCTCTGGATATTTTAGAATGGCGAGACTTAATTTAATTCAGAGCACCAAAGTCGTACAATTTTACTATGAACATAATCATTAGATTGTAAACACCAAGAGAGCTTATCGAGGATTTTTTAATGTTCGAACGCCCCATCCACTGGGGCTATCCGCAGCATTATTCGGCGTTTTCAAACCCAGGGTTCTGTATCGGACCTTCCCCGAACTGGACGACCACGTTGTAACGGTTTCACCGTCCGATTGTATTTATTAAATCACTTCTCGATTTTCATTTCAGAATCGCAACTCATTAATCCCATCTCTAGTTTATCCCATCTCTAGCTTTTTTACTTGGAAACATTTCCGCTTGGAGCGCGCTTGATGCGGAGTTCCTGAACTGTGATCTTCCTCGCGCTTCCTTTTTCACTTCAGCCGCCGATCTAACAACAGCTGAGAATTTTGTTCTCTGTAACATGAGGTCATATAGCACCATGTGCTAGCATTTTGTAAAATGTCTGTTCAAATAGGATAAAATGGCGAGTTTTATAATACTATACAGTTTTATTTGCTGGATCTGCCTGTAGTTTATAGATAATCGATATGTAAGTGGTTTATTTCTTGTACGATTTTAGAATATCCATCGAACGTCATTTTCGACTACTTCGATCATTCGCCATAACTTCAATCAAATCGAGGTAGAAATCGATCCACATCGATTTTACCTCTGTGTGCGTATACAGGGTGACTTTGAAGTTGAGTCATTAATTTTCAGATAATGATTGTAGAAGGAAGATAAACCAAAATATGTGTGTAAAAATAAAAAAAAAATAAAAAAAAAATTTTACCTTGTTTTACAAAGTATCCTCCCAACAAGTATTTCAGTGCGGACCTGTATTTGATCGTGAGGTCTTGGAGCACCGGCATGCCCTCTCCTGTGAGGTCTTAAGTCACCTGATTCACGAGCCCGTTGTACTACATTAACAAAGGCACGAGGGGTTGGTTACACTCGATTGGGAAACCGATCCGCATAAACATGTGCCATTTTTTATTTTGTTTGAGCCACGCAGCAAACACCACTATTCACTCACGCGTTACCGACTGACACATTGACTGAATAAAAACATCGTGATCAGCGTTTCAAAGTCTTTCGCTTTTTTGCTTCCGATGGGATGAACCAATAAGGCGGATTATATCCGTTGTTGCCAAACACGAGCACATAATATTATTATTGAGACAGGGCGGTACTCAAACTTCTAAAGGGCTATAACTTTGTTACTTTAATTTTACCACAAAAATGTTAAAGGAAAAAAACATTTCTTTTGATCAGATCTACTCACTGTTAAAATAAATGACTCAACTTCGAAGTCACCCTGTATATATTCATAGTTCAGTGAAATTATGAGTGCGTTGATTATGAATATTCGATATTTGTGTTTTTATATCAGAAGCATGTGGAGAAATTTTTGATGACCACCATCTTGTTTTACACTTTTTTTGCTATTTCATGATTTTATTTTATGAAAGGCATTTCCAATTTTCGGTTTGATTTTATCAAACTATGTAATGTAATTCTAACCTAGAAAATCGTTGGTTCTCTTTTGAGGCAGACTGAGATTGGAAATGCCTTGGCCATTGGGGCACGTTGCTAATGCACACGGTTCTCTTCAGATCGGGGCCACCTCCTTTGCCTTTGCCTGTCCCTTTGTCTTTGACTTTGCCTTCCTTTGTCTTTGACTTTGCCTTGCTTGGCCTATAACTTTGCCGTGCCTTCACCCATACATGTGCCTTGGCTGCGCCATCACTTACAGCTTCATCCTTGATGAAGATCACGTTTAAGTTCAACTTCACTGCATCCTTCGCCTACATCTAGTTTTGAAGCCACTAAATATGAGGTCACCCCTCATAACTGGGACCTCCACTTGAAGCCCTTGGCCATCCTCGCTTCAGTCCAGTCAAAATGGACCAGCTTAGCGAAAGATAAGTGGATAGTTTTGTAACAGCGCCAAAGATTTTGTTTTTTAAAATTTGAATTTCAAATGTAATGACAATGCTTTTCTAGTTAGATAAAATCTGTTAAATTTTTGTGTTCTGTTTGTTCTTCTATCCTCTAGCCATGCCATGGTCGACACACAGCTACACGGCTGCAGATGTCTTCATGCCACCGATTGAGCTACCGGAAGCTAATGGTAACCCCCTTTCTGTGATTGTGCAGAAAAGTTGGAATCTTCATTGCATTCCATCTTTTCTGGACTTTTTGCGGAAAGGAAGGATTACAACGTTTAGCTTTCACTGGAGAGAACATAGAGAGAATAGAGGAAAGTATTCAGGATAATCCCGAAACATCGACCAGAAGAAGGTCAACTCAATTAGACCTCTCCAGGACATCCCTCAGAAGAGTTTTGAAACATTTGCGGATGTTTCCTTACAAAATTCAAATAGTTCAGCACTTACGACCACAAGATTACGCACAAAATCACTAAAGTCTAAAGTCTTTAGTCTAAAGACTAAATTATGCCATTTTCAGCAATTGGTTAGAGAGGAAGAAATTTTTTTAAATCGTCTAATAATGAGTGGTGAGGCGCATTTTCTGAATAGTTTTGTGAATACGCAAAATGCAAGAATTTGGGGAAGGCAAAATCCAAGGGCTGTACACGAGAGAGAATTACACCCCATTAAATGATACGCCTGGTATCTTTTCCTCAAATTTAAATCCTAACGTTGCCGTGACATGCTCTACATAGAGCGTTTTTCCAATATTTACTTACCACCAATTTTATGTCATCATCAAAAGCGCACCGTCTTTGTTTTATACTGAGTTGAGCTGTATCTGGGGTGGTGTAAGTTTCTTTAACCGAAAACATTACTTCCTCAACCCTAAAATCCCAGATATGGTGGGGTTGAACATCTGTACTGGCTAGTTCGTCGGAACTTGTAATATAAATCTGAAATGAAGTAAGGTCTCAAACTATGTGCTAGCAGGGCAATGATGGGCTAAACGTGAGCTCAATATGTCTTCACGTACATGCATTTGCTGCGGGGTTGTGCATTCACATTTCGTCTTTTGCACCTAAATTGTTTTTTTTTTCTTCAACAAACACTATTATTGTTACTATTATTATTATTATTATTTTTTTTTTCATGCTCATAGTCCTCACGTATGGTGGTGTACTATCTTTGAGGGGGAGTTCACCCCAACCAAGGATAGTTTTTACAGAGACAGTGCCTTTCTCACAATATGACACGTTTGTAAGATAACGGCTTTTTGGAATAGTATGTGAAGGCCGTTTGGAAGGTCCAAGGTCTTTAAGCTTGAGGAGACTTGTTTGGTAACAGCCCCTTCCACGGAGATAACAATGGGTACAATCTGCACTTCCCTTAGCTTCCAAATCCTCTTCATTTCAATCGCCAGGTTCTGGTATTTAACAGATTTTTCACGCTCTACCTTGAGGATGTTGTGTGTAAGCGGAATTCCAACCTCTATTATCTGTGCATATTGGTTACTTTTGTCTATCAGGACAATATCGGGACGGTTAAAGTCTACAGTTTTGTCGGTTAGAAATCGCCGATCCCAATAGAGTATTACATCTTTTGATTCCAGAACTGGCTCAGGCGTGTACTTGTAATATGGCGGAGGAGATTGTACCAAGTTAAGTTTACGAGCTAGCTGTGAATGGATTATTTTTGCAACCTGGTTGTGTGTTCCCAAATAATCGCCAGCTGCCAACGCAGGGCAAGCTCCAGTAATATGTTCGATGGTTTCGCCCGCCTGGTTGCACTTCCTACATTCATCTGGGACGTTGGATTTGAGAATATGTTTTTCATAGTTTTTTGTTTTTATTACTTTGTCCTGCATGGCAGTTATGAACCCTTCCGTTGTTGGATGGAGATATCCCTTTCTCAAATAGGTGAATGACAAAGCTTTATCTATGTTGTCACCTCTCAGTTGGCATGGGTAACGGCCATGGAGAATTTTCTCCTCCCAGCATTCTCTCCTCCTAGCATTCGATTCCGAGGCCGTATTTGCTTGAGGTTGCCGAAAGCTCAAAGGGGTAAATGAGTCATCTGCCTCCACTACAGCAGCTATCTTAGGACTTAGATGGTTATTAAAGTAATTTTGTAATTTGGCTATCTGAGACTTGCAGAGTTGTGTTATGTTGAGCAATCCGCGGCCCCCTTGTGCGCGAGGGAGGTACAGCCGTTCGGTTGATGCCTTTGGGTGGTGACAATGGAACTTTGTGAGCTTTACACGAGTGATTCTGTCTAGCTCTTCAAGGTCTGTATTACTCCATTTCACAATACCGAACGAATATGTAAGTGAACTTATTGCCCAACTGTTGATTGCTTTGAAAAGATTCTGCGAGTTTAATTTGGTGTTGAGTAGTTTTGTAAGCTGACGGATGTACTTTTCTCTATAGATTGACTTCATGGTAGAATGACACACACCCCTACTTTGGTGCATCCCCAGGTACTTATACGGTTGGTCTTCTGCTAGAGGCGCGATGTTTTCTAAATTTTCTTCCAAAAGAGTTAGGTTACCTTTCCTTATAGTGACAGTGGCGCACTTATCTAACCAAAATTTCATTCCTATATCATTGCTGAATATACTTGTCGTTCGCACTAGAGAAGCAAGATGTTGCCTTGACTCGGCGTATAGTTTGAGGTCATCCATATATAGCAGATGGTTGAATCTGGTAGGCTCACTCACATCGAGCCTATACCCGAACTTGGAATTATTCAGCAGTGATGACAGTGGGTTCAGGGCTAGACAGAACCACATCGGGCTGAGAGAATCACCCTGAAATATGCCTCTGCGTATGCGCACGTCTCCTATGTCCTCCGAATTAACTCTTAAAGAGGTTCCCCAGTTCATCATCAGATGGGACAATAGGTTTATGATGCGGATGTCTACTTTATATACGTATATATCCAGCACCTTTAAAAGCCAATTATGTGGCACGGAAACAAACGCCTTAGACTAGTCGATGTAGCAGACATGGAGATTTCTCTTATTTTTACACGCATGCTTCGTAATAACGGAATCAATTATAAGTTGCTCTTTGCATCCGAAAGAACCACGGACACACCCCTTCTGTTCTGTAGCAATGATATTGTTGCTTTCACAGTGAGTATATATTTGGTCATTCAAAAGTGCTGTTAGTAGTTTATAAAACACAGAGAGACATGTAATTGGTCTATAGTTTTTCGGATCCTCAGGATTGCCGTTTTTAAATATAAGATGTGTTATTCCTTTCGTCAAGAAGTTAGGTAATATCTCCGGGTTGGTGATTGCTTTAGAAAGTGATCGACCCAATGCAGCATGTGTGCTTAGGAACTTCTTGAGCCAAAAGTTCTGAATATTGTCAGGTCCCGGCGCTTTCCAATCAGCAGCATTTTTTAGCACTCTACTTACGTCATCTTGAGAGAATATTGCAACGCTCATTGGGTTTACCTTAGCTGCCTTCACTACCTCTTTGATCCAAGGCGCATTAAGGTCTGATGGCTTTGGTTCGGACCAAATATCAATCCAAAATTTAACAAAATTTTGCGTATCTCTAATGCCTTTGGGTTCCGAAGATGATTCTGAGATGATAGATATGATCTGATTATTATTATTATTATTATTATTATTATTATTATTATTATTATTATTATTATTATAAACTGGAAATTGCCCACAACTACAATCCTCCCCTATTGACATGAAGTTTAAGATACAACTGAGCGAACCTTTTTCATTCAGATCTATGTATCTTATATATACTAAAATATACAAGCAATCAGATCACTATTATATTTCGTCTTTATTTAGTGCGTCCAGTGTGTACGTACTCTATGCCGCTGTTCTCACCAAAAGCCATCCGACAGCAACTTTATTTGACTCGGTTTTGACTTTTGGTTGCTTTGCTTTTACGCTCCCACTGAAGCAACTGAGAGATTTTGAGGTTGTGAATGAAGCCGACTATATACGAGTGCAGAAGGTGAAATATTTTGAGTTTAGAAAGTCCAGATCAATTAATTTATCGAGCAAATCACACACGAGAGCAAATTCATTTACGGGGTGGCGCATCGAAAACGAAACAGACGCATTTACTGGCAGCTCAGTTTTTTTTTTAAAAACGCTCAGATCCGTCGATTTTGTTTTCGAGGGGGACGCAAGTTTGGCAAAAAACCACGTTAGCATGTGCAGCCCCCTAAGCGGGGGTGACACCACCCACAAAATCTTAAATGGAAAAGGGGGCCGAGTGATACCTTATTTTAAAGGTATTTCAATTCCCTTTATAATGATATAAAGTTAATGTACTTCAGTTCAGTAGTTTTGAAGATTTATTGATTTAAAGCTTAAATAAAAGTAATACATCATCATTAGTGGAGATCAATACATTTGGCAGTAAAGTAATTTAAAAATGAACGAACTGACCCGTTAGGCAAGTAAATGTTGAAAATGGCCACCATGACTCTCCATGCAATAATAAAGATTTTACTCAAAACGTTGCCGCAGATTTTGCAATATTTGAGGAGTAATTTGAAGACACTTATTCACAATTCTTTATCGCATGTCTTCTAATGATGTTGGCTGAGTAGCATAGATTTTGCTTTTTAAATGACCCCACATAAAGACATCCAAAGGTGATAAATCTGGCGATCTTGGGGGCCATTCAAAGGCACCTCTTCTACCAATCCATCGATCAAGAAACGTCTGATCTAAATATTGTCGAACACGTAATGCGTAATGTGGTGGGGCACCACCCTGTTGGAACATCAACCTATTCGCAATGTATATATCATTCTGATTTTCAATTATGGCTGTTAATGCAGGATCTATGGCGTCTTCTAGTAATTCCAAATACATTTCACCGGTCAAATTTCCAGGTAAGAAAAAAGGACCAACTAAATGATCGCCAAAAATACCAGCCCAAAAATGTATTTTTTGTGGCTGCTGTGTATGGACCTCATGATAAATTCTGGGATTAGAATCGGACCAATATCGGCAGTTATGACGATTTACTACGTCATTTATGAAAAAGGAACATTCGTCGGAAAAGCAAGCGTTGAATAGAAAATGTTCATCGTTTATAATTCGTTCACTCATATCTTCACAAAATTCTAATCGCCGATCAAAATCGTCTTCATTAAGTTCTTGTACCAGGTGAATTTTATACGGATGAAAACTATGGGCCTTTAGAATCCGTTGGACAGTACGTCGACTAACACCACACACAGTCTCCAATTTGCGGGTACTTAACGTAGGATCTACATAAACTTGCCCTAAAACCCCCACTTCTATTGCTTTGTTCCTTATGGGATTTTTAATGTTGCGTTTTTTATTGGCGACTGACCCAGTTTCCCGAAATTTAGCTACAAGAACATATTTTCGATGCACGTTACTGTTCTCATGTCGCTCATTAAATATTTCTGCTGTTCTATTAGCGCACTGATTATTTCCGAAAAATATTTCACTAATTTCAACTCTATCTGCTGTGGAATATACCATGGTTAATTTATGTAATAAAGCGTTACAAGTTACTTTAGCAACAAAGTTTGGTCAAATCAATCTCAAACTATGTCCTAAATTCCTATTTAAAAAAAGTACGAGATATTTACTTATCTTTCTTTAAGAAATAACTTTTTTGCCACAAAAAAACGCTCCAATAGCTATTTTCAACAACAAAATTAAACAAACCATGTGCGTAGTGAAGAAAATCATTTACTTATTAAGTAAATTCTTTTAGTCAAATTTGTGTCCCCCTCGAAAACAAAATTCACGGGTCTGAGCGTTTTTCAAAAAAAAAACTGAGCTGCCAGTGAATGCGTCTGTTTCGTTTTCGATGCGCCATCCTGTATGTGCAATGAACAATATGCGACAAGTAACACTTTGATGATTCTTACTTCCCACGCCTGCTCGCGAGGAAGTACTAGGATCGTAAAAAAATTCGAAATTGGAATAATATGTTTCATGAAATTTTCACACCAGGTAACTACTCTGTCAAGCTCGAAAACGCTTTTTGGTTTTTGAAAATAGGTCCAATGGCGGCGGCGTTAAGAGAAAAAACCAAAATATAAATATCGGTCAAAATTCAAATTCAATCAATAATTGTCATTGGCCCTGAACAATGTGATGTCAAATTAGTATTAAGCTTTAGTTTTAGCACCGTTACGTTTGAGAATAGCTTCTCTCAACTGCGTCAATAAGGCCATTTATTTCTTTTATTATACTGATCAACAGCCAAAAAATATCCTAAATAAAATCAACAAAATATTACTATTTTTAATGTGCTAAAGCCGGAATGAAACTTATTTTTTCAATATTAGTTCAAGTTTTAGAGATACGGTAATTATATGTGTTCCTGCTGTGACAGTGTTAATATACTGTAATTCACAAGAATGCACGTGCTACATTTTTATATTCGTCAAGGAAAGATGATGTAATCGGCATGATTGTGTTACGTTATACATACGTGCACATTATATTGTTTTATATTAGCCATTTTTTCCTCAGTTGGCTGACAGCGTTCATGCAAGATGTCTCGAAAGTGTGTAAACAATCCAGATCAGTTTTGTTACGTGTGTGGTGATGTGACTTTTGCGTCTCAGAGACGGTCTATTACGCCACTAATAACAAAGGCATATCAGCTTTATTTCGGTTGTAAACTAGGTGATCAAGACAAACAGTGGGCACCCCACATCTGCTGTAATACATGTGCTTCAAGTCTGAGGAGCTGGTTAAATGGCAAAAAACGGTCTATGCGCTTTGCTGTCCCAATGGTTTGGAGAGAGCCTACAAATCGTATTAATGATTGTTACTTTTGCATGGTACCTTATGTTGGACAAGCCACAGGTATGTCCAAGAAAAAAAAAATCGGTTATTAACTACCCAAACATACCATCTGCGATGAGACCTGTGCCTCACAGTGACGAAAATCCTATTCCAAAACCCCCAGAATCCTACACTTGCGAATCAGATCATGGCGATCGAGTGATTCGTCAGGAAGAAGATATGCCATCAACGTCAAGAGATCCTGATTTTATACCGAGCACGTCATGCCACCAACCGCACAAAATAACACAGTCAGAATTAAATGATCTTGTAAGAGATTTAGAACTTCCAAAATGTAAGGCAGAGTTACTTGGATCAAGACTGCAGCAGTGGAACTTGTTAGAAGACGATGTTTCGGTATGTGTTTTTCGTAAACGCCACAAGGACTTAGAACCATTTTTCAATATGGAGAATAACTTGGTTTTCTGCAGTAACATTAACGGCTTACTGGCGGCTTTAAATATAAACTATAACCCAGAAGAATGGAGATTGTTTATAGACAGTTAAACATTGAGTTTAAAGGCAGTGTTATTGCATATTGGAAATATTTTACCATCTCTTCCTGTAGGGTATGCAGTTCACATGAAAGAATCATATGACAATATGTAGTACCTATTGACATACATAAAATACGATGAGCACCAATGGCATATTTGTGGCGATTTGAAAGTTGTTGCACTTTTACTTGGGCTGCAGCTAGGCTACACAAAGTTTTGCTGTTTTTTGTGTGAATGGGACAGTCGGGCAAAGGCACTTCATTACACCAGACAAAACTGGCCTGTTCGTCAATTCCTAGAGCCAGGTCAAAAAAATTTACAGCATATGCCATTAGTAGATTCGAAAAAAATTTTATTACCACCACTGCATATCAAGTTGGGCCTAATGAAAAACTTTGTCAAGGCATTAGATAGAGATGGGTCAGCTTTTCAATACCTGCGTCAGAAATTTCCAAGACTAAGTGAGGCAAAGGTTAAAGAAGGTATTTTTGTTGGGCCACAGATTCGAAATATTTTGAAATATACACAGTTTGAAAACACTTTGACAGGTATTGAAAAAACTGCTTGGAATGATTTCCGTCTGGTGGTCACTAATTTCTTGGGAAATAGAAAAGCTGAAAACTATAAAACCCTTGTCAAAAATATGCTGTCATTGTGTCAAAAGATGGGCTGTAATATGTCTCTTAAGATACATTTCCTACACTCACTCCTGGACTTTTTTCCTGACAATTGCGGAGCCGTAAGTGATGAGCACGGCGAACGTTTTCATCAGGATATTTCAACAATGGAAAAAAGGTACCAGGGAAAGTGGAATCCTTCCATGCTTGCAGACTACTGTTAGACTCTTGGTAGAGATGCTCCAGAAACGATCCATAAAAGAACAGCAAAAAGACAGCGCATATAGTGATTCTTATAAGAATATGAATCTTGTTACTTTTTTTAATATATCCTTAAAAATAAAAAGTTTTTTTTCTAAACCGCAACTAATTTTTTTATTTCATTGTCATTTTTTGATTCAGCGCCCCAAAATTAACAAAGAAGTGCACCTTTCCCACAAGATACAATTAAAAAACTAAAATTTGTTGTCCAGTGTTATTATTACAAAGCAAACGTGGCGGATCTATCAAAAATTGTTTGGCAGCTTCATCGCTGTACTGTCGTATGATGACATCTTTCATCAACTAGTGGGCAACTGCAAACCTGTGCTAACAATGACAGTTACAACAACGGCTGAGCAACGGATCGGGTTGCCGTCGCTTCATGTGAAACTTATGCTGAGTCGGGCTGCTGTCGGGTAGCGGTTGCTAGTTGTTCCCGGTGAGAACAGTTCCTATGCTTGATCTTACCCAAAAGGGAGTTTCGATGTTTCTAACCACAAATCTGACTGCCCAATCAGGATCTGTTTCTTGGATCTTTTGAATCGCTACCTCTGGATACTCAATGCTTAAAAATAAAATACACAAGTTACCACATACACTACGTTACAATAAGTATTACAAAGCCGCAGCATTCCAGCCTTACCTGACCTGGACGCCGTGATGACGTCACCAACATCCGTAACCAAGCTTACTTAAAAATATCGATTTTGTTAAATGGAAAAAAAGTTGCGCTGTAAGAAAATGACTCTTACAAAGTTTCTCAATTCCTAGCATTTCCGAAGAAATTTTTCCCGTTAGTTTCCTGGTCTTATTTGGTCTGGGATTTCAAAACAACCAGAACACTGTCACTTTTTCTCCTCTACAAGGTGGCATTAATCATTAATAGACAGGGTGTCCGCAAAGTTGGAGTTTTCCTTTACACGACGTGTAGATCTTGAAAACATAAGCAATTTTTCTTAATACCATATACACCAATGTCTTAAGGGAACCGAGATAAAGGGCTCTGCAACATCAAAAATATCTGAATACCGTCCTGTATCCGCGACTCGCGACATCCCCGACTGGTACTAGGACACTAGCTCAACCCGACGACAGAACTGGGTCGGGGTCAGTGTGTCAGGTCAGTATGCAACCTTCAACCGACGGTTACGGTTACGCGTGTAGAGCTAAACGAACCCGTATAATCGATTGCTTTTCAAAAAACAACAAGCACTAGAGACGTGGCTAGAGAAGTGCAAGTATCAAAAACTAAAGTGTGGCAAACGCTGCGTGAAGAGGGGCTGTATCCGTTTCACGTCCAACGTGTACAAGCCCTTCAACCTGACGAGTGGTTGTTGCATCAACATGACAATAATCCGGACTTTTTGAAGTGCATATTGGTGACATACGAATCTACATTCACGCGTAATGGGGTGAATAACTTTCGCAACACTCATGTTTGATCAGTAGAAAATCCGCACGCTGTCCGTCGGGCACATTTTCAACAAACATTTTCGGTGAATGTTTGGGCTGGCATGGTGAACGGTATGCACATTGGACCATTTAGTCTCCCAAATCGATTGGACGGGATGCAATACCTAGACTTTTTACGCAACATTTTGCCTTCCGTGTTAGAAGATGTGCCATTAAGTGTAAGACAATCAATGTGGTTTCTGCACGATGGTCATATTTGTTACCTCTGTTCGTGGTCGGCACCACCGCCGGCGTCTGCTCGGTAGCGCATCAGCTGATTTCGTTTTCTGTTGGAGAGGTATGATTTCGGGCAGAGACGTACTTCGCCCTTCTCGTCAACTGGAGAGTAAGTACTTTTTCCTTTATTTTTTTTACTTGGTCGCCCTCGTTTCACTACACATTACCTTTGTTATTTCAAGGGTAGTTGTTTCTGAAAAGGAAAACCCCAACGTTGCGGACACCCTATTTTCAATGCGACGTTTCGTCGATTTCCTCAATTGTCAAGCTTATTTTTCCTCATAGACACAATATTGTTCTTTTCCCTGGCCAATATGGTTTTTAATTCATTTGTTTCATAATATTGTAACGTCCTCGTAAGTGAAACATTGAGACACCTTCCTAACATCGACGCTTAGGCAACCAATTATGCGTCCACGCATCGAGATCGTTCGATAGCCATCGAGAAGCGTCTACCGCCATCGGAAAACATAGAGCGCCATCTAGCAAGCTTCGTTGAAGAAGAGTAGAAGACGGAAGACGCGATAGTCCAGTCGACATGGTCATAAATTTTGTAATAAAATATTTGCAAGTGTTGTAATTAAAGTAATTATAAAGACACTCTTAGTAGAATTACCACGTTCCGAACCTGTGATGCTTTGGCTGTGCAATACTCATGGAAAGATGCTGTATACTTTGCTTTCTCGCTGCCTTTTTCAAGAAGCATCTTTTGTGTTCATAAATACTTACTCCAATATTTTATGGACGTGATGTTGAGAATTGAAAACAAAGCAGATGCCATACTCGGTAAATGTTGGTATAAACATCTTACAGCAATCTTCATGATGGGACTTGAAAGTGCAACTGCTGAACATTTCAGTACAGTTAAACGTAACCTAAAAAATATCAACTGATGTGATAGGGATTTACTTGAACCATGATAAAGTATGCAAAGCATTGTTAATATATGTACGTATTTCTGTACCCCAGAGCCAGACTTGGTTAAGTCCATTTTTGTCAAAAATGAGTTTAATATGTTAAGCTTATGATAATATTGTGAATTTTCATTTGTTACATGCAGCGTCCATCTATCTTTAATAATGGAAGTTACGACTTTTTAACTCATATCAGTCGTCTAAATGCAAAACCCGACAAGTCCATTTAAAGGAATTTTAGGGAAATCGCAAAAAACGTTTATAACGTCTATTTGTCTTAACAGAAACCAGCAAATTGAAACAAAATTTTATCAAAAAAAATGTGTAACGAAAAACTGGTTCCCAAACATATGTTATAATTAATAATTACTTAAATTAAGATTAAAGTTTGCACTTGTCGGGTTTTGCATATAAAACATGGTGACTTGTCGGGTTTTGGTTATTAACTTTGGCTAAAACAAGGCGAATCGGCAAAACACGAACAAACTTTTGGATTATTTTATTACAAAGTAGTATTAAGAAAATGCACATTCCAAACAACATAAAATTTGTGTTTTCTAAATATCAAAATCTAAAGTTTCTTCTAAACAAAACAACTCTGTATTGGCCTCATTACCATCTCGTGAGGTTGAAGTAGATGGGAGAGGAAGTTCATCGAAGGCACTTTTGAAAAATGATAAGGCTTCATCATTTCGCCAATTACTTCCGTAATGTTTTGCAATCAAATTACTGATACTCTTCTTCTTATCCGATTTCAATGGCATTCCAATGTCTACAGTGCTTGGTTTGATGTCCAACTTTCTTCCTCTCCTCAGCAGCGACCGGTTGGTGCCCATGTCATTCTTATAGAAACTTTCACCTCTTACTGCATAACCGGTTTCAGTTTTTAAAATTATGATGCGTTTGGACACTTGCAAATTGAAATGCCACTGTGATGTTGGTTTCATAACTATCTGAGTTTTTGACTTCCAGTCCTGTACAGGAACATCAACTCCCAACTTATAGATGCTTCCCCACTTCTCTATTAGTTTCATGTATTGTTCTGGACTTGTAATTTCAGGTGACTTTTTAATAACCTTCTTAATTTGTCCAAATAGCCTAACTGGTGGAATATAGGAATGCCCCACAACCGGAAAAAATATTTCAATTTTACTGCACTTTAATAACCAATGGGATAACATCCCAATGACGATGGAGTTCTTATTTTGCGCACCGCAACCATCACAAAAAAGGCAAGCGACTTTAGTAGATTCGCTAAATTTAAATGTGCTGAGAGTATGATATAATGCTGATGCTATTTCATTGGATCCCCTTTGATGATCTAGTTCAGTCCATACATAGGAATTGACTGAAGTTGGACTTATTTTTCCTTTAGAAGTTCCCTGTACAATTGCAAAGTGATAAAAGTTTAGCTGCATACTGAAGTAGGCTGCTTGATCTGCGATTTTTGGCAGAGCCAGGTTTTTTTGACAATCAAAGCTGAATGTAACAACCTCATTGTCAGCATGGACTTCTTTCAAAAGCTCGTAGGAGCACTTTGCTCGGATTTTGTGAGCTCGCTGTTGAGCCATTAATCGATTCTTTGTGTTGATATCTAATGACTTGTTTATTTGGTCTTGAAACTGCAGGCATGTTGAACACATGTCGGTTTTAGGAGTACCAAAGCCAACATTGTATTTTCTGGTGAAAAAGTATCTGAAAAATGACTCCTTAACGTGAAGATCTTTGTCCACGGTATTGTTAAACATTCTCCAAAGTTTCCTGATATTTAGTTCTGCAGGCATATAAATTCTACTGAATGTCTTAGATCGGCAATAATGAGACTCTATGCACTTCAGTGATTCAACAAACTCTTTTATAGCCGCTCGCTTTGTGTTATTTTTACCTTTTGTCCGATCACCTCCACGTCGTTCTTTGGGCATTTCATTGCTTTCCTTGTACCGTTTTACTATATTCAAAATCCTGTCTTTCTTCACTCCCAGAATGTTCATGAAACTCTGTCTGTACACATTAACCATTTGCCCATCTCTTCTTTTCACATAGTATTTCAATGACATAGATTTCGGCTATAATAACTTCAAATCGCTTAGAAACCGTACTCTTAACATGATCAGGAGAGACAAAAAGACATATATCGAAAATTTGGCAAATGAAAATGATTCCAAAAAATTGTGGAAGTCTCTCAAACAACTTGATATAAATTTTCGTAGTAAACCAACCCTTCCGGCAAGTTTTAATGACCCTACCAAAATTAATGATTATTTTATGTCTGTTTATAGCTATAAACCTGTTGATTCACTAGTTTGCGAAAACTATTTCAAAAATAAATTGAGCTCTGAATATATTTTTTCATTGAATAAGATTAGTTCAAATGACGTATTACAGGCAATAGGGAGCCTAAAATCTGATGCGAAGGGAATTGATGGTATATCCCTGTCAATGATCCAGCTTTGCCTGCCAGTTATTCTCCATCACATCGTCCACATCTTTAACGACTGTTTGGAAAAAGGCTACTTTCCAAACACATGGACACAAGCTCTAATTATTCCAATTCCTAAAAAAATGAAACCCACTGAGTATAATGATCTCAGACCTATCAGTTTATTACCAATTTTATCCAAAATTCTAGAAAAAATTATAAAGTTCCAATTGACCGCTTACCTAGAAAAATTCTTTATACTTCCCGACACTCAATCCGGATTTAGAAAAAATTATAGTACAACATCTGCCCTACTTAATCTGCAAGACAATATTTTAAGTGCCTTAGATAAGAAAATGGCACTAGCCTTAATTTCTATAGACTATTCGAAAGCCTTTGACAGCATCAATCATAAATTATTACTTGCTAAATTAAATTACATAGGTCTTGACAGTGTATCCCTTTCATTTTTCGACAGTTACCTTCATCAAAGAACTCAGTGTGTTTTTCTCAATCAAGAAATGTCTCAAGTGACAATAATTCCCTCAGGCGTACCTCAGGGCTCTGTATTGGGGCCGATTCTGTTCCTCATATATACGTTCGACTTAAGCAAAAGTATTGATAATTCTCATGTCCAGTCATTTGCAGACGATACGCAATTGCTTCATTATTTTAACACAGATAGTGTCAATAATACTACTCAAATTTTACAAAACGATGTTAATAAATTAATTAAATACTCTTTAGATCACAATCTACTTATTAATCCACAAAAATCTAAAATGTTATTATTTTGCGCACAAAGAAAAACATACAATGTAACACAGCTCTTGAACATTCAGATAAATAACCAAATCTTGCAATTTTCTGATTCTGCAAAAATTCTTGGTGTTGTTTTTGATACAAAATTAAGGTTTATTGAACATGTTAAAAGTCTATCTCAGAAAACCTACCTACGGCTGCGCACTCTTATAGCAAACAGCTATTTACTAAATTTTAAGATGCGTAAAAAACTATGTGAAGCATTGGTCATATCTATACTAAATTATTGTAATATCGTATACTATACTTGTTTAGACAATTTCACTAAAAACGTTATTCAAGTTATTCAAAACAATTGTATACGATTCATTTTTGTAACAAGTATCTATTAGCTTACCTGTTGCGTTTTGCATTTTCCCGCTTAGACGGCGTTTTAACTTTCTTTCGAGATCTATTACCTTCCGATGGTAGTATATTATATTTTTCGCAATGCAATTCACTCATATTTTAGGCTAAAATACCATCAAACTAGATCGCACAACCTTAATCATTCGAGAGTCAACGCAAAATAAACATGTGCATGCAAGTCAGGGCGACAAACCTCGATTGAAACACGTGATTGACCAAACACGAATTTCATTGGTCGACATTTGAATTGAAACGACGCATTTCAAGGGAATTTTCTGTATTAAAATAGCGTGTTAGAAGTCGGGTTTCGCCCTAAAAATATTGCATAGTTTGTAACCCTTTAGATAAAGAATTCAATGGTGTATAAAACTGAAATTCCAAAATGTTGTGACTTGTCGGGTTTTGCATTCAGACGACTGATATCAAGTCGTATTCAATACAATGCAAGAAAAATATTTCTTATATAATTATTTCAAAACTACTTATTTGGACTTAACCTAGTCTGGCTCTGAGGTACAGATTTGCTTATCGTACCATATCAGACTAGGGACGTGTCATGAACGTAACGTAATTTTGCCTGTATATACATATACGAGTATGATACGCGCTTGGACGACGTCATACCATCGACAGACCGTGAAGGTTAGGCTAAAGAAGAAAGTTAAGGTTCAATTTGTTCAATGTGAAAAATTTTGAATCAAACCAATTCAAATTTTAACTAAGCTGATTAGAAACTTCAGTCACCTATGTCATAGCTTACAAGTTTTGTTAGTTTAATTAAACTCCGATTTCTAAGACAGTTTACTTGTATCTAAGACGCAATCGCTTAATTAAATTTATTAAACCGTTTACTTGGATTGAGTCATCAATTTATTTGAAATTTGAGCTTACCTGCTCCAAGTAAAACAACTTGATTATATTTATTAAGTTTGTTTAATTAGTATAGGTAAAAGTATTCGCCCCATTTTTAGTGAACGATTTTATTTAGTTTTAAGAGTATGTTTCGATAGTATTTGGAATTCAAGTCAACAAATTGCATTTTACTGAATGTTGCATATTATAACTGTGCTCTGACAAATCTAAATCTAAAAAGTTGGGTTGGGGTCGCGATTCAAATAAGCAGTTTAATTGTGTTTCTGCATAAACTAAATTACCTAAACTAATTAGGCAGTTTAATGAATAGGTACATAGTTTACTGTTTTCAAGCAAATTGGTTGAATAGTATATTATTTTCAACTTAGCTGTTAGCAGAAAATAATTAGTTACAATTGGAGATTTATCCAGAAAAACTGCTTAATTGACCATCTTTTCTCAGTGTTGATTTGCATTTGAAATATGGTAGTATATATACATGAAAAAATAGGAAAATAATGAGCAAAATCCGCAAAAAGAAGGAAAGTGGATTCGAGCAGAAAATAGTATAGGGCCTGTTGAAGCCAACCAGCAGAAATACGTATCGCTCGGGTTACCTATCCTATTCTCTGCTCGAATTAACTTTACTCTCCCTATTTTTTGTTATATACCTCTGCGCATGATCATTTTCTCTTTATATATATATATATAACTTGAGACGTGGTCATTGTCGTTTAGACCAGTTAGGTAAAAAATAAAGCTTCCGCCTTCTATTAGGTACTTCGATAAAATTCAAGCAAAGAGGACTCTTTATACTTTATTAATATCTAGCTTCCAATGGACTTTGCCATCTTCATCAGGAGAGATTGTTGCTAAATATTATACGTTTAGGTTGAGGGAAACAACCAGTAACCTGGTGAATGCTGGATACATGGTACATTCGCCAAAATTAATATAAACCATCTTGTGCAGCATCAGCTAGTTCACGATGTAATTTTAACCTTTGTTTTTAAATATTTTTAATCCGTTTTAATATGTTCCTCATATACAGTTGTGTGTAGTTTATATTAATTTTAACGAATGCACCATGTATCCAGCATTCACCAGGTTACTGGTTGTTTCCCTCAACCTAAACGTATAATATTTAGCAACAATCTCAGATACGACTCTCCTGATGAAGATGGCAAATGTCATTGAAGGCTAGAGACAAAAGCTTTATTTTTCATCTTTTAAGTAATTACACCTTAAAAACGGCTATTTATTTGAACAGAACCGCTCATGGGTATCGAACACTAGTGTAGATCCAAGTATGATACCGTATGTTAAGCAAAAGCATTTGTTGAAAATGTCTGGATAGGACAAACCCTGTCACATACATTGTAGAGCAAAGTCCTCAGGTCAACATCTTCCAAGAATCTGTATTCACCTTTACGATACTTTTCAAAGAATTCTGGAAGTGTGGGTAACGTCACTCTAGTGAGATTCATGAACAGTTCGGTATCTTCTTCTATAGTGTCGTTTCTAAAAAAAAACATTACAAACATCTCATTTCAAATCGTGTTTGAAATAATCTTCATGGATAATAGACTCCCAATAAGCATTCCACCAACAATAATATAACTGTTGCCTGGATTTATAGTTCATTTCACGGTTTTTGGTCGGCATACTAAAACTACCAGCATCACTGTTCACTCTCACACATACTCACGCAATCTGTCTTTGTGTGCAAACGTTTGTTTGTAATGGGTGATTTTTTTGCTAGAATCTTTTTGGCAACACTGTTTTTGACAGATGACGCGTGAATCGTGTCTTGTGTCATTGTCAAACTTGTTCAGTTTGGTCTATAATTTAACCATGAACCGACTTACGAACGATCAACGCTTGCAAATTATTGAATTTTACTATCAAAACACGCAGACGTAGAGTGAGGACTAAAGAAAATATTGCGGCTGTATCCGGCAGTGTTAGTGATGACCGTGAAATGTCGATTCGCCGCCGTTCGCAGCAATTGGGCCTCTGTTGCTCCACTACGTGGAAAATTTTGCGACAGGATTTGGTTGTAAAACCTCATAAGATACAGCTGGTGCAAGAATTGAAGCCACACGACCTCCCACAACGCTGGCAAAGTTGGAGGAAGATCCACATTTTTATCGAAAAATTGTGTTCAGCGACGAAGTTCATTTCTGGTTGAATGGGTACGTTAACAAGCAAAATTGCCGCATCTGGAGTGAAGACCAGCCAGAAGCATTGCAAGAGCTACCAATGCATCCCGAAAAAATCACTGCTTGGTGTGGATTATGGGCCGGTGGCATCATCGGGCCGTACTTCTTCAAACACGACAATGGCCGGAACGTAACTGTGAATGGCGAGCGCTACCGTGCGATGATAACAAACTTTTTTTTGCCCAAAATGGAAGAGCTGGACTTGGCTGACATGTGGTTTCAACAAAACGGTGTCACATGCCACACCGCACACGAAACAATGGCCCTATTGAGAGGCGAGTTCGGTGAACAGTTTATTTCACGTTTGGGGCCCGTCAATTGGCCGCCTAGATCGTGTGATTTAACTCCGTTGGACTATTTCTTGTGGGGCCATGTTAAGGCTAATGTCTACAGTGATAAACCAGCAACGATTGACGCACTGGAAGCCAATATTGAAGCATTTATTCGTGAGATACCGGCCGATATGTTGGAGAGAGTGTGCCAAAATTGGACCTTGCGCATGGGCCATCTAAAGCGGAGCCGCGGAAAACATTTACATGAAATAATCTTTAAACATTAAATTATATCGACCGTTTTATCGACTCAAATTTAATTTAATCGTTTTTTCAATTTTTTTGTGTTTTTTCTTAAAAATCAAATCCTATCCCTCTTAAAAAATCACCCGTTATAAGCTTAAGCATACGCTTTTAGCTTCGAAAATTTTCTCGCCAACGTATGAGTCTTATTAATCTACCCTTGTCACTGTCAGTATGACAACCCACTTTCATGGGCGTGCCATTCTGAGTTCACTTTTTATTAACCTTTCCCAAAATTATTTGTACTGTATTTTGAGAAAGTAAATGAAAGCAATGGTCGTTTATTAATCAGTAAATGCGTGCAAGATTAGCTGCGTTCAAGATTGATTTTCCTAGTCTGCTATATTCCTATGGAGCTTCAGATCCGCTCATGGGTAAGTTAGTCGATTTGCTTACTGATTTCTTATGGCGTTGATGACAGTAGATGTCTTATGGGGATTCGGTCTCAAAACTTCCAAAATCCGCCACCAGAGGCG